GCCGGGCTGCGGGTCTCGGGGCGGCAGCAGCGAGTAGGTGAGCTGGGCGTTGGCGCCCGAGTCTCTGTCCGTGGCGCTGACGGTGCCGATGTGCAGGGCGGGGCTGTTGTTCTCGGGGACCAGCAGGGTGTAGGAGGCCTGGGTGAAGGTCGGGGCGTTGTCGTTGACGTCGGAGACCTGCACGGTTAGGTTGTGCTGGGTTCTCAGCCTGGGTGTGCCCAAGTCGGTGACCGTGATGGTGATGTTGTACTCAGATCTGCTCTCTCTATCCAATGCTCCTTCTGTCATTAGGATGTAGAAATTGTCCACAGAGGGTTTCAAAAAGAACGGCACATTTTCTTGAATATAACAAACCATCTTTCCATTTTCTCCGGAGTCTCTGTCTCTAATTCTAAAAACTGCTATTTGCGTCTCAGGAGAATTCTCGACAATGTAGTTGGAAAGTGATGATATGATCAATTCAGGGGTGTTGTCATTGGTATCTAATATTTGAACCCAAACTGTACATCTTGCTGACAGGCCCCCACCATCAATTGCCTGTACATTCATCTTGTAAAACTTTACTAACTCATAATCAAGTAATCCTCTGAGAATGATTTCCCCAGAAAAAGTATTAATTTCAAAGGTTGTTTGAATATCTTCAGAAACATCAAAAAATGAGTAGGAAACTTCTGCATTGACTCCTGTGTCATCATCTTCTGCAGAGACTTTAACAATAAGCAATCCTGCTGGGCTGTTTTCTGGAGCCCGAGTCTCATAAAGCTCCTGGGAAAACTGTGGGGCATTATCGTTGATGTCTAAAACCACTATTCGTATAGTGGCGGTCCCAGACCTGGGTGGAGACCCTCCATCTATTGCTGTGAGTATTAAACTGAACTCTTGCTGCTCCTCCCAGTCCAGAGCTTTGTCCAGGACCAGCTCTGGATATACCATGCCATCATCATTTTCATTCATTTTAATATGGAAAAAAGAGTTGGGGTTGATGGTATAGTTTTGGATACCATTAAGCCCTCCATCTGAGTCGTGTGCTCTTGTTAGTCGAAATATTGCCCCTTGAGCTGTATTTTCTATAATTTTTAAGACCATGTCTTTGTCCTGAAATGCTGGTGAGTGATCATTTATATCCATAATTCTTAGCTCAGCTTGGTAAATCTGAAAGGGGTTATCCATTAAAATTTGGAAATATATCATACAAGGTTCTGTGGGGCCGCACAGTTTCTCCCGGTCCAATTTCTCATTTGTGAGCAAGTCTCCAGTATGAAAATCCAGGAGCAAGTATGGTTTGTTATCATCAAAAGCCACCCTTGTTCTCCTTGCAGCCAGCTCCTCCAACCCCAGCCCCAGATCTTTTGGCAGATTGACCACAAAGGATCCTCTTTCTGTTTCCTCTGTCACCACATAACGTCCAAACCCAGAACCTGCACAGGACACACCACAAAATAAAAAAAGGATTAGGACTTGCCTTTGTCTCAGAAAGTGCAATCCTCGGGCCTCCATAGTTGCTTTTTTCATCAGTATGTATCACAACCCAGTGCTCAGCATAAACAAGCAGTCACAATCTTCAGACCTGGGCAGTGTAGTAGCAGGGATCTTTGTCCTTTGCCCCTTTTCCAATCTTGGACCGATACAGCTTCTATTCCCAGAGATCTTCCTTTTGTTAGTGACTTGGGTAGCAGCTTCACTTCAATTTTTCCCCATTCTCTCTAGCCTGCAGCGCCATCGTGTGGTTTTCAACAGATTAAAATGGTTGTACCCACATTTTGAATTTTAAAAATTTTCTTTAGTAGTTTATTTCAATTTTTCTTCGGTCTATTAAAAATAATGTTGATATAGAGAATCGGTTGCATTCTTGGATTCTTCACTGTGCTTCATAGGAAAGGTACAATTTTAACAGCTTTTTTTAAAAAAAGGGATTCTAGCAGTAACTCTACTTCACTGCTAGATTTAGCTTTTTAATAGGCCCTTTACTTTTGACCAACTCACATACGATGAAAGAAAAAATTGTGGGAGCTTATGGAAGCACTAGCATAGCAGACCTAACTTTTCCAGAAACATTGGACAGAGGAATATTAAATCTTAGCAAAGGAAACTTGTTTCATATCATTTTCAAAAAAACTTTAAAATCCCACTACATCCCTAAACAGAATCATCACTATGTAATATGAACCAAACATTGTTCTTTGATATAACTATGATTATTCTGTAAATAGTATTGATTCCTGTTTCTTGCCAGTCTGTTTCTTCTTCATTGTGTGAGCTACTTGAGGACAGGAATAATGTTTTAGTTATCTTTGGTTGGCAAGTCAGCCACTAACTAGGGCTTGTATTGAGATGAAGTAAACAAACAGTAGTGAGTATGGCATGAAACAATATCAAGTGTCAGTCAATTGCTACCATTTGAAAATTACATCATTTTATTTACTCAGACTATTCAACTTCTATTCATTTTCATTTGTTTTTTCCCCTTAACTTTAAAATAACTTGCATGGGTAAAGAAGGGTGAGAATGTTAAGTTCTCTCTTAACTTATATTTAGTAGAACCTAATTTCAATGCATTAAATGAAGGCAGCGAATGAGTCAAACTAACACATAGCTCCCACTATTGAAAGTAAGAAAACCATTTTAATATCTGCTTCATGGGGTATTTTATTCAAAGCCTATATCTAGAAAGAAGACGTAATTTACCCATAATAAAGGATAGATTAAATCCAGAGATGTACCAGGAAAAAGCTAGATACTGCTAAAAACAAAAACAAAAGAAACACTACAACAAAAAACCCATACTATTAAATATAAAAGCCACACTATACTTCTGCTTGATAACTTCTATTGTTTTTTCACTGGATTGTTTGCCATTAACAATTTAACAGGGATCTCAATTTCTCACAGAGTTAAAATTAATAAATTATTAGATAGTTCTGTTTAGTACATGGAATGCCTAAACTGTGACTTTACAACCTCAAAGTTAAACATATTACACATACCCAATTTTCACAATAAATTTCCTTAATTTCAGATAAATCTGATTAGATATTTATCATACAATTAACCGAAATGTTATATTTTAACAAACATGTTAATAGGAAAATAGGACTTTAAAAGAGAAATACAAGTTTAGAAAAGTGTGATAAGCTAGGGATTTAGCTCAGTGGTTCCACCACCTACCTTGAAAGCATGAGGACCTGAGTTCGATCCCCAGTACCAAAAAAAAAGTGATAAAGGATGACAAACCAAGAAGAATGCCAACGAGAAATAATAGAAAAAAACCTGCGAAATACTAAATATACATGTCCCATGCACCATTATATTTTTAATAATTGAAGAAGTCTAGGAAAAGAAAAACATGAAAAAGATACAGATGAATACAAACTCAGTGAAGATATGCACAAATTGAAATTTTGAAAAATAATATCAACTTTGAAGCTAAAGGCTATTTCATTCACTAGGATTCTATAAGAAATAATTCATTGGGAATACATAAGGAAAAGAAAACATAAATTGTTGTCGTTCGGGGTGCAAAGGCTAGCCAGAGAGCAGGAATGTAGGTTTGCCAAGGAGTAGAGGGCTGAAGCTCTCCCAGGCAAACAGCAGCCAACTCTCTCACTAACCTCGGTTTTTATTAGAACATGCACAATACTTCCATGAGAATAAGCATATCTTTACAGATTATCTCTAGCAAAGCATTAGAAAATATTTTTATGAACACCTGGCTCTACTTATTCGTATACTTTCTCAAAACAGACTGTTCCCAGAATGTTATCGGATGGTTCTCAAGACTGTTTGCAGCCTTGAACTTCTGAGTTATAGTGCCGTGTGTGGATCCACAACTGCAGTTCTTCCAATCCGTATCCCAATGTAACCTTCTACTCTGCAATAAAGCATAAATTGGAACTAATGACAGAAAATTGAATACTGACAAGTTCTTGGTAAAGAGCACAAAAATTATACTTAAAAGAAATACAATGAAGTAGATGTCTAATAAGTGGGTTTCTGTCAATTATATCCGGAACTACTTGGGAAGGTACAGTTTTTCTCTATTTCTTTTCCGGGGGGGGCTGAAGGCTGGGGATAACTGGCGTCACGAACTTGAACTCACTGGTAGTCCCAGAGTCTCCAGTGAGACAGACCTCATACCGGTAGCTGTGGGACAGCGTCCCAGAGCCGCCGACGTCCACCAGGCGGCCCGGAAAGGGGCCCTCGGGCGCCGAGACGCGGC